TTTCATTAAATGCAATGATCTTCCTAACATGTGTTGACATTTAAGCACTTAATAAATAATATCATTTTAGATTATACATGTTCTCATACGTTAAATTAGGCCGTCGTATTTTTTAAAATAAAGATCGCAACAAATTTATGAAATTAATTTGGGCCAACCAATCCCATTTCCAGTTGTTGTAGTTGGTGGCATACATCGTTGCATTTTTACACAAAAATAGTGTGCTTAAAGCTTTTTGTAATTATGCCAATTTAAGACATTCCTTGAAAAACATAAGGAAAACTTATAAATCCAAAAAAGGGTTAAATTAATTTATACACATTTATATAACTGTGCGATCATCGAACTCTAAATAACTATCCACAACGCCTAAAACTGCGGAGGCAACCATCAGTGTAAACATTGGTTATCATGCAACTAAAATAATTATGGATATCGTCAGGCAGGAAAACAATTTAGCGAGAACGGTGTTCGAACTTGGTATCTCCAACTCGAGGCACAGGCGTTTGGCACATTTGCTTTGTCAAATAACCAAATTATCATAAAATAATAACCCCTTTGCCATCAAGAACAAAATTACTATCCACTATCCGTGTACTATATAAAATATATACAAAGTATATACCTTGACGTAGCTTGTTTACCAGACACAGTCAACATTTTACTGTCACATTTTTTTAATATCAGACATATTTTCATACTTAAACTTGCAAACATAGCACAATAGGCATATCTTTTAGTTACCGTTGAAATATTGAGTTATCTATGTTCATAACAATTAATGGATTATCAAACGTGAGACAATACCTTAAAAGTACTAGGTCGACATGTTTTGTGCCAAAATTTAGCTGCTTGTCATCCGTAAAAAAGTATTCCAAGTAGGTTAAAAAATTGATTTTCAACTGAAATATGCTGTCTCTCAAATATGCAATTTAAACGAAATAAAGTTTTAAGGCGTGTTTATGTGATATGTGCCAATCGTTATATAATATTTAAATAGAATTTGATGCTTCAACCTATTTGGATTACTTTGAACCTTGGTTTATGAATCATATTAACTGGATCACAATAAGAACCATATGATGAACACTCAATTTAACGAAGTAAGCTTATAGAACAAGAAGAGTCATTATTTACACTTTTATCATCCTAGAGGATAGATTTTGAAGTAGTTTAAAGATCTGAACACTTGGACTAGGGCTTTGAATAACATTACAATTAAACTAGTGGTAGTTAAAAGTTCCGGGCACTTGGAGGGAGAAAACTGACAAGAACGCCCAGTAACATTACAGTCAACCTTGTGGTTCGATTCTGAAGGAGTTGAATGTTTTGAACACATGGAAACAGAAAACTGACTAAAACGTTGACTAGCGTTATAATCAACTTGTTGTTTGTTTTGAAGTAGTTTAAAGTTCTTAAAACTTAGAATGAGAATACTGCAGAGAACGTTGAATAACAATGCAATCACCTGTGGTTTGTGTTTGAAGTAGTCAAAAGTTCTGAACACTCGGAATAAGTGCTCTTTTTGGATTCCTGCTCATTGTAGCGACAGTGAATAGCCTTTCAAATTCTCGCGTATAAGCGCTTTAGGCTCGATGCAAGTGGCTTCAGCGTTTGTGAATTGTGTTTGACTATTCCTTTAAGTTTTGTGGAATCATATGGTGAAATAATTGTTCACTTTGAGATAAAAGCAACAAACTTGTTGCGTTTGTTGATGAACCAATTATGTTTAATTTTAGTTATGAACCCATCTTCAAAATTTTAAAAATGCCCGCCATTTTCAAGATGGCCGCCAAGATTGCTTCCATAAGATGAAACAATTACTGGCTATATAGATAATGTTCATTAAAATCATAAAGGGTTATTTAATTTATTAATTTCAAGTTGCACACATATAAATCAGTGTTTACCTCTAATAGGATTTAAATTCAAGTGCTTCATTGATTTGAAAATGGCTTCTAAAATGGCCGCCAAATGCACAAAAAAAATGTTTTTGATGTTTCTAAGTATGATTGATGTATAAATTACTTCCATTTTGATTGTGTATCACTTGCAGACATAGATAGGTTTAACAAACAAAGATATACCACTATTACTAAATATTTACTAAACCATAAATTACACCAACCCTGAACCTCGCCTGTAAGTTTATCCTCGGTCACAGTGTCCACCACATAGACAAAGAGCATTTGCACCTCCCACGACAACAAATTTGGAGACTACATTTACACTTATGTAACACTTGGCAAGACTTGGATGCCTGTTGTAGTGTTGTCCTGAACGGCTCCCGTGTACCCAAGCTACTTGGACAAGGCAGTTCTTGGAGGGGGGGGGGCAAAGCGCTTGTCCCCAGCAGTACTCAGCTTGGTATGCCGTTGGTCTAGTGTGTTTAAAAAGGCCGGCATGTGTCGTTGGATTTCATCAATAGATCTCTCTTTTCGTGAGACGAGCTCTTTTCGCGCTTCGTTGACTCTTTAAGCAGCATTTGATCGATCCTAAAAGTATAACAAATCGCCCCAACGTTGGAATAACAGTGGCAATAGAGACGTCTGATGGAGTTTGACTAAGAAACTTAAATGCTTCGACAGCTACACTAAACGTTTTAAGGTCCCCCGTGCTGTCGTTTAACCTTTGCCAGGGAATGATAGCTGGTCACATCCAGTTAACGCATGGAATGCCAATTAACCACTTACAATATCCTTACCAGAGAAACAGAGTGTATGTACAGGTATATATCTTAATATTTTTTTCCAGTGCCAGATGCTATCCATAGCTCTTGTACATTCATATGTTGAAAGGCTGTTCATTGTAGCTATCACAACTACATCTGTATCAACAGTGCGTACAAGGATTTTTGTATTGTTCAGCCTTGCAGCATAGCATGAGCAACATGAAGTAAAAGCCTTGCACTGCTTCTCCATGTGTACATGGAGATATGCTACTAATTACTTATATTGGTATATTGCTCAGAACGGCTGATCCTTTTGTGGTTATGATCTGCTTATTGTCCTCACATGTTCATGTTATCACCTGATCTGCTATTGATATCGTTTACACCATAAAACCAAAACAAAAAGAAAAACAAAACTGGAATTTCCGGCTGATATCCCTAAACACACTACAATGTAAGACTTTTGCACTTTCCGGTACCGTCCATGAACAGGCTCAATCAAACCGAGCCTGCAACATTTTCAATTTTGCCGTGTTGAGCTTTCTTTAGGGATTCTGTATTTATCCATTTTAGTTCAAGTTCATTAAAAGGCCCATTATGTTCCAGGAAGGCTTTTTATTTCAGTTTCTCAAAAGCATTTTATTTTTGTTGAAGTGGTGATATAGTTTCCAAAACGTAACTCACAGTCCAATTACCTGAACCATCTTTTGCTTCGTTGCATCTTGATAGTTCAAACACATACACAGGCAAAATACTGCTTTGATAAAGTACTGTATAGCGCATTATATCTGCGGTGTTAAATGTTGGCGTTTTTTAAAGTGTTTTGAATTGGCGGGGTCATAAATTGGCGCAAACGCTTTTAGACCGCCATATTAAAACACTTGTTAGCATAAATATGGGGTCATGAATTGGCGATTACAAATAAAGAATAAAAAAAAAAATAAAAATAACACCGGTCACGCAGTAGTTGACTGTCCTCGTTTATTTTACGGCATACGGTATACCTATGCTTGGTCACCTTTATCTTTACATCGTGCTAATTCTTATAATTAACTGGGATCAGACAGGTTTAAATATGGTACCGTGTGGTAACTGGACCATGGAAGAGAAAGGTTTGCCCTATTATCCTGCAGTCTTTAAAGCGTGAAAAATTGTTCACGGTCACCACAACTGATTGCTATATAATTACAGTTATCATTAGTTTTATTTCAAATTATGAAACATAACAGTGAAAACAAAACAAATACTAGTTTACTTAAATTCGATAATAAATGACATTTAGATTTGTTTCTCGTCGTGTGATCATCTTCGTAATGAATACAGTATATATATACATTTAATCATATATATATCGTAATAAATACAGTATATATATATATATATATATATATATATATATATATATATATATATATATATATATATATATATATATATATATATATATATATATATATATATATATATATACTGTATTTATTACGATATATATATGATTAAATGAGTTTCGTACCAAGACTTAAAAATAAACAAATTCTTTTCAGCTTACTTGTAATGTTTATTTTTATTACAAATAATCAAGGGAGATTACTCGGACAAACCAAAGCTATTTTACCATGAGTTGTCCACCTTTCAAAGAATAATGGCGATGATCTAAAATTGCGGTGCTTTAAATTGGCGGTGTTTTGAATTGGCGCTACTGACCCTGACCGCCAATATAGCCAAATATAAACCCCCGCCAAAATAAGTACTTATGCAGTATTGCTTCTTTGATTACATATATTCTCTTACTCAACTCTACTATGTGCATGCTCTAAAGCCTTATTTAAACTTTTTGAAACTTAAATGTGCAAGAAATTGTGACCTTTAACCTCAATAACTATTAAAAAAGAAAACAAGAGGGTCCACAGGACACTACATTGCTCATCTGATAAATCAATTGTATGCCATGTGACCTTGTTTTGATGTCAACCGAAATTATTTGCATTATGAACATCAATGCCCACAAAAAAGATCATTTGTGCCAAGCTTGGCTATTTTCTTTCATTTGTTGCTAAAAAAGCATGACACAAGCTGTAAAATGCAACCTTTACTCAGTCAAGGACAAATGCTCTTCAAATACTGAACAAATCCACATGCAAAACTACACGTACACAACTACACATGCTGATAAACCTTTTTGTAAAGTTTCTTTACTTTAGTTCAAATACTTTAAGATTAAGAGGTTATGACACAATATGAGAACAGACGGACGCATGACCGGACGGACAAGGGCTTTTCTCGTTTCTCCCTTCTAAAATTGAAAACGATAAAAGTTGAATTCACTTACTTGAAGCTTTCTTTGATCGGCTTGGCGATCCCTGTTAAAAGAATGAAAGATAAAATAATGATATTTATGATGGTGGTTGATGAACTATTCAAGCGTTATTTATTCAAAATGTAAAGCAATTAATATATTGCCATTGAAAATGATAATAAATTATTCATATCGTTTCTGATATGACTAATCTAAAAACAAGGCCATAAATCTACTTTATTATATCTTTTATTATATGATTATTATGATGATATATCCGGTTAAATTCTTCTCAGTAACACATTTTTCAAAACAAATTCCCCCATTCACTTAGTTATGGACGGAAATTGTAAAGATAGTGTAGGCAGTATATTACTTGAGAAGGTCATGATCTTTTGTTAATTGCCATGTCATTGCTGTTTAATGGACTTTGAAAATATTTAACTTAAAACAAAAAATGAATCAAGTATGCATACATGCAAGGACCTGACCATAACCCCAGTCCCCAAATTCAACCTAAACTTGGAAAACATTTGTTTAGAATTTATTGTTTACTTTACAACAATAACGTGAACATTGATACAAGTGATCCTAAATTGTACTTATAGGTAGGGGATCAATACCAATTATGAGAGATATCATAAATTAATAAACTTACTAGGAGAAATTTAAGATAAAAACAACTTGCCGGAATAGGTTAACTATACCAGGTCCTATATTTTGTAAAATAGGAATAACTTGAAAAAAATGGATAGCACAGTTATATAACTTGCAAATAGCATGAACTGTGATTGATATTTAAACGTGCAAACTATGAAGTCATTAGTACAGACAGAACTTAAAACATAACTTGCGGTTTTGGGTTAACCATATCCATTTAAATAAAATGAAAAAGGAAATAACTTCGAAACATGACTGCAATAAATATATACCTTGGCACGATCAAACACGTTTTACTGAAAAGGTGTGAAAAGAATAAAACCATTGGTACTGCTAGAATGTAATAATTATTCAACTTGCAGGATTATGTTAACCTGTTTCAGGCAGACGAACGAATGAACAGTTCAACTACTACATACCCGAGAAAACAAAACTAGTCGAGTTTTATCCAAAAATAAACAGCAAGAGTAATAACTAAGAATATGAAGCAAATATAAAAAGGTGAGTTTCATATAAATGTTCATACTGATATTCCCAGACATGCTCCCAACAAGTATTTATCATAAAAAAGGAAATATGTAAAGAAAACGTTAAAACACTTGAAGTATGCACTTTTCATAAAACTTTGAAATAAATATCTAAAAAACCTTCTCTGGACAATTATAAGCATGATTTAGGGAAATAAGTAAACAATAGTTTGGAGAGTGTGCATAAAACACCGTCTAATTGACATGTATATATCTATAAAATTTCAAACTGATTTGTCTCATAATTGTCGAGTTATAGTCCAGAAAAAATAAAGAATAAAAATTATCAAAGGTAATTACTCAAAGTTATGTTGGGAACAGTTTTCATATCTGTGCATTGCGCTCTTTCTTTAACATGTCTTTTAAGCTTGAAAAATTCAAAATGTTTCAAATTACGCTCTGGACAAAATATAGCATAAAAAGAGACATGATAAGCATTGCAGAAAAAAAAGTAAAACAGTAAGGTACAGATACTATTCTTGCAAACGGCACTCCTCCTTTTTAAGATCTATGAAGTTTCATGTTCATATCTCGAATTTGACTGATAAAGTAAATAAAATATACGTTTAAGTTATAGGCGTATTCCTTTTATATTTTAAATAGGATTTTTTTCCTCAAATTCGAAGTAGATGAAAACAACTCAAAGATTATTTGGATGTTGGGATAACATTAAAGTTCACCAGAGTTCATCGTACTCAAAGGGCAATTTTTGTAAAAATGAATAACTGGAAGCTATTGCTGCACATAGACAATGTACTTGATTGAGTAAGTTATAAAAGGTATTATGAAGTGTTGTAAACAAACCTTAAAGGGTGATTTTGGACTTGAAGAGTTGAACACACTTTTGAGCTTCATAAAACCTTTTTGGAAAAAAGATTTTCTTGAAACAGCATGTCCGCTTATATCAGACGAAGCAGCACTAGCCCCCATTAAAACATCTGCTTTTGCTTCTTTACCAGCCTTGGTGATTGCAGATAAAACATCGTCTTTTGCATTACAAATATCGGAGATAGCTTGACTTTTCCGTCCATCAATATCGATAGTTGCCTCGGATATGTCTTGCAATGCCTGTTTTCCGGCTTTGTTTATTTTAAATATACCATCAGTAGTATTCTCAGCAATGTCTTGCATTGCCTGATCCCCGGCTGTGTTTATTTTAGATATACCATCAGTAGTATTCCCAGCAATGTCTTGTATTGCCTGATCCCCGGCTGTGTTTATTTTAGATACACCATCAATAGTATTCCCAGCAATGTCTTGTAATGCCTGATCCCCGGTTGCGTTAATTTTAGATATATTATCCGTAGTATTTCCAGCAATGTCTTGTATTGCCTGTTTCCCGGCTGTGGTAATCTCTGCTATAAGTGTTTGCTTTACCGATATTCCAGCGTTTCCAACATCAACTAAAGCGGCATTCTTAAATTCATCAACATCTACTTTTAATGTATTCCGTACAGCTAATGCTTTCATATCAAGTTTACGCAATGATTCTGCTGTTCTTTCGTCAAGTTCGGTTAACGCCTTATTTCTGTTCTCAAGAAGTGACACTGTATCTCCTTGGCTTATGTGAATCGTGTTGTTTCTTAACTGTAATGAAAAAGGCATACATAAGTGTTGTATTAAAATATTGTGTTTAAGGTGCCTAGTTTAATAGTTTAATATAACTATCACAGAATTTACACCATTGTCCGCATAAACTATCGCTTGAGTGAGAGAAGTAAATATGTAAAATACTGATTTCGAAAATGCCCCCTTCTTTTACTATAGGAGTTACATGAATAGATTATTTATGTTTTATGTCGAGTTGTAAAAACTGTATTTTTCAGGGAAAAAAGCGTCCTACAATGTTTATTTTTATACTTGGAACAATTTTCAGGTCAACATAATCGACGAGCATATTCACTCGACACTTTAAATTAATCATTCGAGCTCCAAAAAATAAACTAATACTTAGTGAACTGACAGTTGTTCATTTGCCTCTATCAATAATAATTATGCTATACAATTTGTGTAGGCCACCTCTTTCATAGTTTTTGATATTCTTTATGTTTAGCTTTTTTGAATGATTTAATTATTGCTATAGATTTCTTATATTATAATTTTAAAGTTTTATTTTTCCTTACAATTTTCTTCCATCAATGTATACAAACGCATTTTGGTATACACTCGTCCAGTAGAAATATTATTCAATTGACGGTATTTATTAGGCAGATACAACTGACGTTTAAATTAAACACATTTTTAGATAATTGACACCTGGAATCTAACAAGACCTGTCCGCGGACAGAGCGCTCCAATTTTCTCAAATCAAGTGCTGAAAGCACTTGAAGCGACGGTCATGGAAAGGGAATTGCATGAATGCTGTCAAAAAAGAATCAAACCTCAATCATGTTGCACTAAGAAATTTCAATATTTATAAAGGGCAGTTAAATTATATGCCAGAATTTCATTGACCTTGGAATGAAACCTCCAATTGTGATACCAAGACATGCATAGTTCCTAGTGATACTATTGCCCTTTTTCACCGGCACTTTTGTTGCAACTCCTTCACCAGAGAAGAAAATTCCATACAAAACCTTCTTTGCACTTAAAGACCGTTTAACAATTATTGGGCGTTTGTTGTGTTTAGTGCCCCAGATTTTTTTGCTTACTTTTCTGACCCAATGGACCAAAGTTTCATCACCTGTGACGACATTGGCAAACTGTTTTTTGTTTTTGTCATATTAGCAGCTTTTTGTCCACCTTAACCCGTCGCCTCTTTTGCTCATCGGTCAAAAGATGTGGCATCCATCTAGTAGACATCTTTCCGACTTTCAAATGCTTCTTCAAAATAAAGTGAACCGTTGATAGTGAAATGCCTATCTTTCGCGCAATAGCACGAACTATAAATCTGGCATCTCCTTCAATTATATCCTTATTATTTTAGAAACGATTTCCTTACCATATGCAGATTTTGGCCTACCTGATTTTGGTGCATTTTAATGCACTCTTCACCAGACTCAAATTTCTTTTTCCATGGCCTAACTGTGTCTTAGTCACACAAGAAGGTCAATAGGCTATAAAAAGTTCAGTCATCAACTGCTTCAAAAAGCAACCTAGTTTTGGGTGAGCTTTGATGTGAGCCCGTATTACATATATTTTGTCGACGCTTCTACCAACCATTTTTACTACAGTGGTCAATGACTGCGTGTATTAAAATGGCAAATTGTATGTCTTTCACTTAGTCTAACATGTACATTTATACACCGTTGTGTAGGTATTGAATCACCCTTTACAGGTATGTATTGGTTTTTTATCGATCACGAGATAGAGGACAATAAGCAATTCTTTTCGAACAGCCCACATAAATAACTATGTGACAACCGTGAAAAATTATCTTTGAAACACGATCTCAGGACCATGTACTACGACTGTTTCGTACTACTGCCCTGATACATTGTTCTCTTTCACTTCTTTTCCACAATTTATTTTATGTCTCCAACCGCCGAAAGTATTGGCCTTTTGTTCACATTTAATTTTATCTATCCGGTAGGTTAGGGGGAATATCTCGGTTGCACAATTTGCCATAGTAAATACTTCTGCACAGTACATACTAATTTTTAGTTGTTTTGACACATGCGTAATCTATATTCTTACACTATCGGAAATGTTTCTATATAAACAAAGAAGGTCCGAAGCGTGCATTATTCTACAACAATGCACTCGCCGTTCTTATTATCTCCCTATGTATTTTCACATTGAGGGCGCCATTTTGTTTGAAAAATCTGATAAATAAAAACAATTTGTGTCGAATTTTGTTGTGAAAACTATCTAGAATGAAAGAAAATGGTCGAACTACGAAAATGAATCCGAACACCAATATCTTTTATTCAGTCGTTAACGCTGTACAGACGTTTAAGGTATTGTTTACGTGACGTCACAATGTAGCGCAAAACAGCACGCGCAAAACAATCAAATCAAGTACGCTATTTTAATGTCGCAAGCGAGTTAATTTTAAATTTATTTCATTTTTAATGATTTCTATTTCGCTTGAAAAATTATAGAGTGAAATAAAATAATCAAACAACATTTTATCATCGTTTTCAAAATGCGTTATTCTCAAAATATTTCTACACACGGGAGATTTAACAACAGTTTTTTCATACCACTGTAACAGCCTTTAAAGAACATTTCTATTGGAAACTATGAGGCGAAAACAAATTTAACCACCAAACATGAAGTCCGACTTTTTAATAATAATTTTATTTTTTGACATGTTAGAATGGAAATAGATATCAATTCTTTGTGCATTTTTGTATAACAATGCACGATTTTCGTTCAATTTCTTTGCAATTGATCACTCAGGCCTATCGGCATTCGTGATTATATTACTACGCATTTTAATTAAAACCGTGCATTATTCTACAACAATGCATTCAGAATTGATATCTATTTCCTAAATTTACACCTTTTTGAAAATGAAGGATATTGAATCATGTATCGAATATCTAAATACATTTCTTTCGTAAAAAATACACTGCAGTTGAGAAACAAGGTCGGTCAGACATTACTATACTACAATCTAATTGATAATTATAGCTTCTTTTAACTAAAGGAAGAATCCTTATTTTGAAAAGTATTTCAGTCATCACAACACAGATATTTTAGCATATGTTTTCAACATATTTTTTCCTCATTTTCTTACTGGTATTTTTGCTCTATATTCAAAAAATATTTCCCCAATTACATATATTTTTTGTCATTTTACTTTCTTGCTCCGAATTTGATTCATGAAAAACCGTGTTTGGCTTTGTTCTGTGGGGATAAAGTGCACTTTATGATGTATTCCCGAATAAAATGATATTCATACTATTTAATTATTTTATCAGTCAAATAACTATCGGCTTTTACAATTAAACTGGAACATAAACGCTTTCAACATATTGGCATAATTATATATTGCAGAGAAAATAATATGCACGTGAGGGAAATTCGGAAAAGATATTTAAGATTCTTCTATTTAAAGCTCTGACAGGCACTTTGTGCAGCAAAGCCATATGCCATATGCATCATTAGGTATGACACTAATCACTTCAATGAAGTTGAAATAGAGCTAGAAATTGATCCTGATTTAATTTCAGCAAAATAGGTTTTAAATTAATGATCTGGTTATATGCCTTTATGCAGGAAAATAATTTCACGTGAGGAATAGGAAAAAATTTGATCTTCTATTTGTTGCAGTTTGGCAACCAAAGAGCACTTACTTTAACTTGAAAAGCCGGAAATACTTTTTAAATTTAATTTTAAATCTGGAGTCCTTGTTAGCAAGCGAAGCCGGGGTGTTGCCTGTACGTGTTGGCACCAAAAGAATTGATTTGATACTCCTGCGAAGTTTCAAATTCAACCAGCATCTGTAAAAGCCCGATATGATTATTCTACTTTTAACATTTCAGCTGCGAAGAGGAATGCGACCGCGATATGCACAACGATCACTTCTTTGTTGTGATGTGGAAATTCCGCTAGCAGTTTGACCTGCAATAGCCGGACACGCTTTGGTGGCCATTTGGTTAAAAGGAGCCGTACGTAGGGATGTAACTGACCGCTCCTGTTAAGTTTCATTAAAATCAGGCCTCTACGTTGACCTGTAAAAGCCAGATACAAATTTTTTTTTACTATTGTGGCTATTTTTCAGCGAATCACAACGGCGATATGCAGAAAAAGGTATGGTTCTGATAACTCTTGTGAAGCTTCGTTTGAATCATAACTGCAGTTTTACCTCTAAAAGCCTAGCAATTATTTTCAATTTATAGTTTTGGCAGCAATTATGTCCACCAAAGCTGTACATGCAGGTGATATGCACAACTAGGAATGGTTTTGATCACTTCTATGCAGTATTGTTTGAAATACAAAAAGCTGTTAGACCTTTGAAAGCCTATCAAGATTTTTATATTTTTAACTTTTGTTGTACGGCGAAAATGAACGTGTCGTCGATGTGCAAAAATAGGGATGGTTCTGGTCACTGATATACATTTTAGTTGCAATCCAACAAGCAGTTTGAACAATAAACGCATGACAAGGTTTTTTTCCTTTTAAGGCACTGGTAGCCATTTTGTGCAGCGAAGAAGAAATTGCCGTCGTTGTGCACAATAAGTGGTGGCATGATTACACATGCGCAGTGAGTTTGACCTGTGTAAGCCGGTCACGATTTTTCTTTTTTAAGCTCTGGCGGCCAGTCTATTCAACGAAGCGGAACGTGGCGGCAATATGCACATCAAGGGATGACACGGTTAATGCCTGTGAAGATTGTTTGAAATCACACAAGAAGTTTGACCTGTGAAACTCCAGGACTATTTTTTGAATTTTTAGCTATTGCAGAAATTTTGTGCAGCGAAGGGTAACGTGCAGGCGATATGCACATCTGATGATGATACTGATCACTCCTGTGAAGTTTTATTGAAATCCGACCAGCAGATTGACTTATGCAATCGCAACGTGCACTACTATGTATAGTAATAATCACTTCTATGAATTTTGATTAAATCCCAGGAGCAGTTTGAGATGTGAAAGGCGGACAAGATTAAGAATTAATAGCTCCGGCGGCAATATAATGCAGCGAAGAGGACGTTGCTGGCGATATGCACAGCAAGAGTTAGTACTGATCATTTCTGAGAAGTTTGTGCATAAAAGCGGTATGTGACGGTACTCCTGCGAAGTTAAGTGAAAATCCCACCAGCAGTTTGAATAAAGAAAGCCGGACAAGATGTTTCTATTTTTTAGCTCTGGCGGTCATTCTGTGCAGCGAAGAAGAACTGGCCGACGATATGCACATCTAGGGATGGTATTGAGCACTCCTGTGCAGTTTGGTTGAAATCTCACAAGCAGTTTGGCCTGTGAAAGCCGTACAAGCTTAATGCCGACGGAATACCAGACAAACGTACAGTCGACGAAGGTAAGCACATTATGTCTCCCAAATATTTTTTGAGATTATTGTATCAGGAAACATCCCTGAATTATATCAGATGCTAAACATTCAATTAATTTTGCAACTACTTATATTAGGGTTAATCAGACTGAGTATTTTATTAGTTTACTGTTTAGTGCGTTCTGTTAGGTTTCGGTTTTCTCTATTTTAAATGGAAGTAACATGTGTTTGCCATTTCCATATAGACTATTCTAGCTGTTTATAAATAGAAAAGTTATTTGCAGTGCGCTTTAAAGGCTTTTGGATAACCTTCTTATTATCTATATTATAAAAAGAAATCTCAAATATAAAACTTGTAAGTACAGTGTAGACTGTAGAATATAGATAGAATTATTTTTTTTATCTATTTAACTTAAAGACTGGATTTTCCTAGTTTTACGGTTAGTCCATACTTACAGGCACACTGTTACGGAATCCTGCAATTACGATATGAAATTAATGATATCATTTTCTTTTGTTCATGAATTATAATTGACAGTTGTATATTCATTAAGACAAGAGGATGAAAAATATAGCTATGCATACATGTATTTGCCCATATCCAGGTTATTTTAAAAACAGAGAAAAGATAAAATATATGTTGCACCCCAAGTGTCATCACAATTTTAAACAGTTTCTGTAAATACTAGTCTGTTAATAAAATAAATAACTTTCATTCTTTAAGTAAAATATGTATACTCAATGATAAATAAGTGCACGTTTTATCTATAATATTAAAGGAGACAAATCCTATGAACGGGGTAGACAGATAAAATGTTTTGTTCATTTTTTATTTTACATGTTTCCGTTTTAAAGGTGTCTGTATTTCATGTACCAAGTCAGTTTTCAAACAGAGCACCTCAACAATTATTCATAAGCAAACAAAGTCGCGATTGTTCCGATATTTGATTACCCTTTCACTTATCGTTGAATTACATTAAAAATTAGTCAAACTAAAAATGACACTCATAATTGAAATGATAGGTATTGAAATCTATATATTTACAATTGTTTTCCATTTGATTTTCTTTCAAATCAATAGCTGGGCAAGCCGGGCAAGTCAATGTCTTGGCTTTGCAGTTCCGGCCTTTGCCCGGCTGTAGACTATGAACGAAATGGTAGTGTTAAGCCTATCAACGAAGTGTCCGTTATTTTTGTTAATCTCTAATCAGTTGTTGCAACCTTTTTAAAACGCGGTGGTGTGCCAAAATGAATGTATAAAATATATGTTAATGATGATTATACTTTCTGAACAATGATAATAATATTCATTTATTAATTTTCTACACATCATACTTCTCTCGGAAGTATAATTTATGGTAGAAGACTGCTACGTCTTTTTGCAAAAGTCAGAATTTGGTAGACGCTTTTGTTCCATGCTTTTTCAAAGTGTCCTGTAATCTAAGTATAGCTTAGTTATAGAACTAATCCAAGTTGTTCAAAATAGAGACACCCGGCTAACTAACAATTTGTCTCAAACCTGTTACATTTAAACTCATATTTTAAACATATATTTTTATTGAGTTTGATATGATTTCAATATTGTTAATGCTATCTGAAATCATCACTGCAGCCCTCGCAATTCTTGTGCCCGCACGGAATATTCCGCGTATTAGTTTGGTGATTAAAAATGAAAACAATATTTCCGATAACAGAACAGTGACTTTAAAAAAAAGAAAAATGCTTTTATTTAAATTAAGTTAGCAACCGTAGAGTGATTAAACCTCACCAGTGGTGATTTCATTGTCAAAAATCACTTCACGGACGGGATCATATCAGATGTTTAAGTAATTAATTTAATAATTCTAATTTGCATTTTTACATATTTTTAAGGAACCTAATTGGGCAATCAATTATGTTCGGAAAATCGGAAAACACAAGTTTTGCTCCTACCAACAACCTAAGATATGTAATCAATGTAAACAGCCATAAAATAGTCCCCAGGGAAATGCCTCTGTTATAGTATGTGTTCATGAGTAAGGAAACAAAGTACATACATTTCTGTAAATTAGGTATGTTATGATAGTTACAATAGTTATTTCTATTGTAATATGATGTATTTTTATTAGCAAACATCAAATATTATCATATTCTATAAGTATTAAATCATTTGCAAATTTACTTATCTCTATATTTTGCCTTTATCCGTAGCCAAGAACATATTACACAATAAAAAACTGAATAACTTCAGTGTTAGCTACATTTTCCCAACAACAGAAAATTTAATAATTGTTTTCCATAACTTTATTTGGTACAATTTTTGATATGGCTCTTAAAGAAGTTTATTAATCAATCAAGAGGAAAAATCACTTTATCACAATAATATATATTCGGAATATCGATTTGTCAGTCAATTATCCCACAGAATAAGTCATTTATAGTGTTTGTCATTTAACTTCTGTATTCCATTATATCGATACAAACTGCTGGCTACATACTTAGTCCCTAACTATAGCTATTAATCTGAAACAATATTGTACTGTTTTAAGTAACAGTGACCCTAACCGTAACACCATGGAGTCAAAGAGCAGTCATAGACCTGAAACATTTTTATTTTCTATTTCAGCAACATTGACATTGACCTATTATTTTTCTTTCGTATAGTTGATTTCTTTTGTCTTGTCCCTTGATCAAAACATTTGTAGTACAATGTTTAATCATCAGTTTTGAGATATATGTATGCACAACCAAGTATCGAGAAAATTGAAAATTCATTTAATAAGCTTATTATTAATAATGAAATAATTCCTTTAGCCTTTGTATTCAGTCATTATTTAAATATAATATAGCGAAATAACTCAAATACAACCTGATGTCATCCCTTCAGAAGTTCAACGAGCACTTGAAAACAAAGCATATACCCACTTATCACATTATTAAAGCATATTTGTATTTCTTTTATAGTGAATTATGTACCTGTGTTAGTTTATGAACCGCTTTCTTTGATGCCTCATCGTTAATCAGACACTTTGGATCTTGAAGAACTACAATGAACGCGTCTAAATAAGAACACACAGTTGTTTCGTCTATTTCAAGCTTTGAGCTATGTAAGATTCTATTTCGGATATCTCTTGTCTGAAAGAAGATTCATAATACATTCATGTAGAAGAGGAATCACAAAATTCCTATTACTATTACGTGTTTTGTTTGTAATAATAAAGAAGATAATTTTTTCTACTTATGATAAATGAATATTTGGTTGTAATAAGTACTTTAATGTGTTTATACTTCTAATGTAATACTGAAGAACGGAAGAAAGTCTGCATTTCGAATTCATATTTTATTGAATGGTTACAATAATTTTCTGAATATACGAGGGATGTCCGGAAAGTTCATATACATCTTCATTTTTTTATTGTAAAACAATACATACGCTGTACAAATTTTGTCAGCATAAAAATACATATCTAGCGAACACATTTATCAAAAATTACTGAACTGTGACTAAACGTTTTGTATTTAAAAAGTATTTACATACAGCATATATACATAATCAATGGAGCACTTTGAACACGTCAACGGCGTCAAATTAAATTAATGTTTAACCAACTATTTAATTTCCCTTCCGATTTCAAAAGCCATCATGGTACCTGTCTGTCGTATACTTAATACATGTTATTGCTTTCATACATTTCATATTTAAAATTATTATTTAAAAATAAAGATTTCACTGGTTCCCATACTGTGTGTAAGATGTCTGCCTTTTTTCAAAAAATGTTGTAACGCAATCTACGATATTTCAGCCATGCTACTTTTGGTCACTTCTGGAGCGTTTCTTATAACAATATCCTGTCATCACCGCTTCTTTATCTTGTTTGACATTTATTCATTTAAAACACACAAGTTGCCTTTAACATTTCATGGTTAATTTTGTTTTAAAGGTAAAGATTATAATCTCAGATGGCGCCATATTAGCGTTGCTATGAAGTTAAATATCATTACGTTGCTCCGTCCGTTAAATTGACGGCATTTTTGCAACACAAAATGTAAACGCACCTTCATTGCCTATAATCGCCGTAAACAAGCTGTTTTATTTACGTATGACATCATAATTTACACTGAATATCATGTTATACTATCCTATGATGTCACAAAATTAAAACGAGGGATTGGCATTAAAATTACATCTTTTAGCAACTTTTTATTCGAGTAGCTATCATCATGAAATCAAAGTGCTCCGTGGTTCGTTGATCATGTTGCCATGGTGATCGGCGCTTTGCGAATATTACTTTTATCATGTTTTTTAATTTAGAAATATGTAGCAGATAAATACTTAAGTAAAGTATTAAATCATCATATTGATATGTCTGCTTAAAATAATTTTATAGCCTTGTCTACGAACTTTCCGGACAGCCCTCGTACAACAAACTGATTTTGTTCATTGCGGTTATTATTTTAAATAAAATGAATATACAATTATTCTATTCAATAGTTAAAGAAATTGTTTGATAATTTCAAAATTATTTATAAATTTTTGGCGGTTTTCTGTACTTACCAAATGAAACGAACTAGTATTGTTATGAGGGTTAATACTGGACACAAAGTTTTGCATTGACTTGTTGTTTAGAATAATGCTTAAGAGACCAGCAGCATCAGTATCTTTAGCTGATGTCCCTGGACCTTTAGTTGTTTGGAAACATTTTGCATAACTCCACCCATAAGGATCCGAACACCACGTGCTTGGGTCAGTGTTTTTCCATAAGGGGTCTTCAAATACATGCTCATGTATAATTGAGTCGTAGAATTTACTACAAATACCACCAGGGCATTTCCTACGCCCTACAGGTCTGCTTCCAAAACAGTTGGTCGGACTCTTCTGGGTACATGTGCGTCTGCTACATGCCTTTGTAGTGTTGTAATGATCCGGAGAAAGATTATGTGACGTACACAGGTTGCACTGCTGTGGTGATCCAGATGGCAATGTCAATATTATCTTTTGAAGGGAATTGTCACGACATTGCAGTACCTTTTCTCCAACAAATTCTTGAAGACCTTCCTGTAAGTATTCTAGTCCTTTTGAGCCTCTAACCCAATTCGTAAACAGATCTGTATCCAGTTCCTCACTCCCCATTATAGCAATTTTGAAACAGGTCAGTCTGAATGAAAATATATGAATAAATGTGATAAATAAATACAATGTTTCTTAATGTTATATGATCGACATTTTAATCATGCTAGTGTATTCAAACTGAAACTGAAACATTTATATTCCATAACTTTTATAATTATATTATGTTCCATGAGAAACAAAACCACATATTTCCAATCATTTTGTTCTATTTTTTTTCATTTTGGTCATTTTTGAGTAAGAGGTTAAAAGAGAACAGTTGGGTGCGAGATAAGTCTTTATCACGGCATAGCAGACACAGCATAGCCCCGTGCAACTAATCACAGCATAGTATAGTAAAGCATAACGTAGCATATAATCATAACACAGTTGACGGAACATTATACTTTATGAAGCATAAAATTGTAAATATACAAATATAGTCAAACAGTTCAAATGTAATGTGTTGTTAATTTTTATAAGGTAGCATTTTTAACAGTAAGTTTGCTGATAAGTTTTGTTGGCAAGTACTTTTGGTACACTAGATTATGGACCTTTCCAAGCAGAATTTATTTGTAACAATATAACAAAAGTGTGACAAAGCTGACCAAAAAAGAAATGATAAAATTTTACATGTCTTTCAGACATAGAAAATATTTGTAAACATTATTTCACGACAAAGAATATCATTTTTACTAAGATGGCATTACTGTTGTAAGCTATGCATATTATAATTGAAGTTTTCTCCCTTTAAGTAAAACGCGTGTGCAAAATCATGTATATGTTTTACTGGGCATTTACTTTGAATGCATATGACAGTTATTAGATGTTTTGATATTTTTGCTTGACAAGTTCTTCAGCAGTATTGACCATAAAAACTTCCTTTTTGTTTTTATTTACTATAAACATTATGAGTTCAGTTATAATTATTGTTGTATTATAGTTACTATATATTTTAACTTTTATAGGACCTGATAATTCCTATTTAAGTGTACCGTCGCGTGTTAATTCAATTTATTTACCATCGCCATTAATATAAAATATGCGGTGACATCACATTTTCAACATTATGGTCAAATGACGTCATTGTAGAAACGTGACGTCAAAAGTGATGTCATTTTTTAATCATATGACGCGCTTTCCCAATCGGAATTGTGCAGTTTTAAACAGTACGTGCTGCTGCATCAGTTGTATGCAAGCAAAACAAAAAGGAAAAGAGAGATAAAAAACAACAATTCGTCACTGCACTATAATTGGAGTTATTATATAAATTGTCACTGCTTGATGACCGTTTGCCGCATTTAAAGTGACTCATTTTTACATCATCAATATTATGTGGGTAACCTTGAACATTTGCTGAATCGTATTTTAAGTACTAAGCAAGAACATTTTAATGAAAATATGAATTGAAAAATCTTAGTTCATGTATTCAAACTACACTTGACATATTGTCCTTGCAACAGAAAACACTTTCAGGGCTTACTTACTTTAAATATTTCAATGGCAATTAAATGTACCATTTTGATTGTTGTTTTATTTCAATCAAAGTATTTTTCTATATTGTAGCGGCTAAAACCCTTCTGTCTTACTAGGGCCCATTTTGAACATCAATTTAGCAAAGAAATATGTTCATTTCACTGAATTACTCTTCATATAGTCAATGGATTAAAATACAGGTTGAGTATAAATTTGGGTTCAGACCACTTTATTTTAACATAGTTTTTGATCCTTTTCATCAAAATTTTAAAAATACTTGGTTTTTACATTAATCTCTTTAGGAGCCATTTGATTAAAAAATAATGTCAAGAACACAACTGAAACAAATAAAGTACAGGTTGAATCTTAATTTGGATTCAGATCGCTAAATTATTACCTAGATATTATAATCTGTTAACTATCAAAGGGATAGTTTTCAAATGACAACTTTTAGGAGTCAAATGATTGTACACTGATGTCATATCATTTAATACGTGTTCAGTTCTAAGCACATATCTTTAAATGTTTAGATAGTTTTGGTTTATTTTCAAACGTATTTTCATGATTAATAATCTTTCTTTATCCAATTATCAATAAAACCAAACCTTTTTAATTGTGTTCGGTATGTCAAGGGGACACCTGGACTTATGTAGGAAAAACACATATTTAATCCCTATTTTCTCAAATTAATATGCCGAAAGCTTAACTAGTTGGCATGTGATATTGCCTTGTAGACCCTAACAAGATGTACACGCATCTCAATCATGTCACTTGGGTCAAAATATTCCGCGTCTAAAAAGCTAACCTTGTATGCATACAAATTGGAAAAAACACTTTAATGTAGATATAACAAGGAAGATGTCACGTAACATGTTTACCCATTGTTTTATATAACGGACACATCCAAACAGGAGTATACTACTGAGAGACAATTGTTTAGTGAAGTAGGCGAGTGCGTAATACGCTTGAAATTGTCGAAATCACTTCCTGCTTTATAGCAAATTAATGGGATAACATATTTTCCTTGAATTTTCATTATTAATCATAATGTACGCAGCATGTATGTATTCGCATAACAATTAGGACAAGAAAAGCATTGATGCAAAGCATCAAAGGGCGTCCAAGCAAGAAATGCAGAAAGTGAAGATGAACTAGTAGACATATGATGACAAGATATTCTTATAAACTTTTCAATATTATGGTTAATTAGTTTTTACCAGAATGAACGGACGAAAGACATTGTTCATAATGAACTTTGATTGGCATGCTAGAGATTAGAATATTACTTGTTATTTCTTGATGATCGTGATTATTAATAGCAACGGATATACATGTATACCATCATTTATAATCCATATGTGTAACGCATGATCAACACCACACTTGTGGAATTGTCTCTTATTATGTTATCGCTATTAGCTTAAGGTATCTGTTCACACTTAGTAAAAATATGACACTCATGGTTATATTACCATGTTGATCATGTTGAGCATAATTGTTTATTATACAATAATTGTAATATCTATTTTAATATAAAAATACAAATTTTATGAATATTGTTTTACTCTCTTTTTTGTGTTTTATGTGCTATTTTAATACTGAGTTTTTACGTTTACTACTCTTTTTTTATCAAATTGTAAAATATTTTAAGAATTCAATTGTCATATTGACCGACGATTTTAAGTCAAAACTTAACTGGAAAAAGTCAGTAAATTATGCTTAATCTTTCAATATATAATATTGTTTATTCTTAAACAATGTACATGTACATTTGTATTTTACTTTATCATTTTTTAAATTATCAATCAATTGAATAATTCATAAAATCTAATTTGCAACTTTGAATAATTCCTCGGCATCTTTACTAAACACGAATAACAAATTAAAAAAATATTTCAAAGTTGATAGTGTCATATTAATACCATAAAATGTACCTTTTTCTCAATTATTGCACATATTTATTGTTTTTATCTCATATAGATAAAATGAAACATGCTATTGTTGTTGTTGTTGTTTTTTTCCGAATTGTATGTTTATGTATAATAATAATCAATAAATTTGAGAGTTGATCTGTATTTATTAATTATTGTAACCAAACTAAGTGACAAACATTCATTTTGGAAAAAAAGCTTATTTATCTGTAAAATATTGTTCTGTTCTGTAACGATATCAAACATCTACTCTAAAACCGGACAATAAACGTGTGATACTATTCGCCGGTCACTAGTAAATCCCGGTCAAAATAGACCAGGAGAGACCGGGAATTACCGATAGCAGTACATCCCTCTATAAATAGATTTTCGGAATGTTTAGGTCGTCAACTCATCATTCTATTTTAACATACCATAATAACCCACTGTGTACTACAAAATGATAAATAAAACAAAAACGAAGAGACGGAAAAGGTCATTTCATGCATTGCGAAATTCTCCAGTTCGCTATTCATTGTACATATCGAGACATTTTTTTAATCAAGCACCCTCATACCGATCGGAATGATCGGCTTTTATTATGATCGACTAAAAGGCTCGAGAAGTTGCTGTCGCCCATTCACAAAATCTGATTTCATTCCATAAGGGCGCCGCGCTTCGGCGCGGACGCCAAAAACGAATTTTGAAGTAAAATATTGTGAAGTGTACAAAGGAAGTAAATAACACTTTGCATACGGCACTAAAATGCCAAGTTAATTAACAAGCAGTTGTCAAAATAGCCCCTACAGCATAAATGACGCGATAGACATGTGGTCATGTCTTATTTTATCAATATTTTGCGTTGGTACTTTAGATGTACTCTAGGAAGTCGTTGAAGTTGTTTATGCTAATAAGTGAAAGTATATTTTTCTTTTATTTCGTGAGATTAAACCAAAATCACTGGGTATATATAGCTCATGGCGTTGTGAACAAAGCTTTGTGAAACTGTTTGTGTGGCCTTCGTATTGTTTTATGATTCTTCGAATGTCCTTAAATGTACATCAAAGACAATAACTGCGCTTAAATAATAAACAATGTCACCGAAATAATAATTCTAAATAAAAAGATAAAATTTGTAGATGCTTGATGTGCAAATTATATTAGGTTGCACATGTTTGTTTACTATAACTTAACTTCAAGGAAGGAAATCATCAATTAAAAAACTTATTATACTGGACCGTTGAAAACAAAAGCATGTTTCATATGTGAGTTTTTCTCTAAAATTCAGGTCGATTCATATGTGTCATACTTACTCTACAATGGTATGGTAATAAATCGAAATGTAGCATCTAAAATATTTAAGGTAAGATATAATGAAAACAAGACCGTTTAAATACTGTGCAAGCTGTATTAATGGTCGTAACGGTAGGACAACAATTATTACAAATTGCTACCTCTTTTTTATCATATCAGTTCAGGTTTCGATATTTTGATATACGCTTTACATATTGCTGCTATTCATTATTCCACATATATGCCTACAGTATAAAATGTACTGAATTAGATAAATGTTAATTTAAGTTTTTTCCGTCAAAATATAATATCATTACTTCGAAATTAACCCAAACCGGCGTCTATTTTTGCGACTCCGTAAAAAA